CGTTGTCTTTGTGCATCCCACGTATGCTCACAGGTGCCTGCGCCGTCACGGAGCCAGACTACTGTTGTTGTGCAGAATCCGATGACCTTGGATGAAAGCGGCAAACTGGTAAGATTGTTTTTCTTTTCTTTTCCCCTTTCCACGCTTTTGCTTTGCCTCCCTTGGGTTGTTTCGCTTTGTCCCCTTTCAGTTCTTCTGCTGCTTCCGCTTCTTAAACCACTAGTACCTCCACGCCTATTTTCGACTAGTACTGGTGTACCTCCGAACTTTCAGGAGGCCGTGCCCGCCGTTGATAAATCCGATCGGCGGTCGTCGTTTCGTTTCAGCCTCCTGCAAGGTCGGAGGCCGAGTATTTTCGAACCGACAAAGGTACTAGTGGTTTAAATCTTGTTTAGCGATCTTCGCGGCTCTTCATTAAACGGCAAGTACACGGCCCCAGCCTTGCAGAAAGTTTTTTTGTCGCCACAAACAAAAATCAGAGGGGCCGTGCGGCACGGGGCGCGGTTGAAAAAGACAATCGGCGGTCAGAAGTGGTGCGGGTTTGGTGCTGACACCCGCGGGCCGATGTGTATGGTGTACTGGTGCTTTAAGAAGCTAGATCGTTCTGCTCCAAGATTCGTATCAATATAAGAAAGGGGAGGGGTCTCCAGAGAAATCGCCATGTTGATTCGGAAGGCATCTGTGAACGCATTTGTAATTGGGTGAATGACTTGGGGAAAATCTTTTTTACAAATCTTAAATTTACACAGAAACCTGTGTGTGTTCATCTTTTCCCTTCACTTCACCACGGTAACTCAAATCCTCGCAACTTGTTTTTTTTGGGGAATGAATTCATTCCCCCTCTTCTTCTTCTTTTAAAATGTGAACCGTTTCTCGATTGATGTTTGTCATCCTTGTGCAGGCGCCATGCTAATGTTTTCTGTATCGTCTCAATTTTAACGGATGTCCCGAAAAGGACTGGGGAATGAATTCTTTGATTTCCAAGGCAGAACATATTTGCCCTTCATGGAACCAATTTACCAAAAATGTTCGGTGTGTGGATGTTATTCACCGTGCTTGTGTGTATGCCTTGTCCATTTTTTGTAATACTGTATATATAGGGGTGCCCAATGTGAAGACTGCGGTCAATTCTGTCAGTCGAAGAAGGGGTTGTCATCTTTGGAGGCAAGCTCAAATTTCACTAAGCTGCCCCATGGCGCACCCACCTTTTGCAGATTTCATCACCTTGCTTCAGTGCTTAGATGCACTTGTCTCGCCTCGTCCTGCTTGGATTGCTCTACTCTCTCACACCATGCACTGCCAATCTAAGATCGAAGGATCTACAGTGTTGTCAGTCTTACGGAGGGTTAGTTACCTTCTGAGAGGCAAAGTCAAATTATATTGAGCGGCCGGCCCCATGGAACACCCACTTTTTGCAGTTTTCATCACCATGCCGCTGCTCAGATGAACTTGTTTCATGTAGTGTAGTGCTGCGTGAATTGTACTCGCTTTCTCGGTCACAGCATATGCCGATCGAAGATCGAAAGACCTACGTGTTTCATGTAGTGCTGCGTGAATTGTACTCGCTTTCTCGGTCACAGCATTATATGGCGATCGAAGATCGAAAGACCTACGGTTTTGTTTGCCAATGTTACGTAAGGAGGGTTTGGGCGAAAATGAAATTTCGTCGAGTGAGTGGCTCAATGACACACTGACACACCAAATTTTTGCAATTTTCATCAAAAGATGCCACTGCTCAGATAAACTTGTCTCATGTAGTCGTCCATGAATTGTACTAGCTTTCTTGGTGATCTTACGGCAGTCTCAATTGATGGATTTACGGTGAAGCTGCATTTGTATCCTTCTGACAGTTCTATTCTTATGTTCTGCTGAATGTGCTTTGCAGGTCCAAAGTGTTGCAGTTGGGGTGAGTGATAAGAAGACGTAGCTCCTGTGCGATTACATTTCTCTCCTTGAATGCCACACACTAGAGCTGAAACAGGCTGTTTGTGGTACATTGCTTTGTACAGAGAGAGAGAGAGAGAGAGAGAGAGAGAGAGAGAGAGAGAGAGAGAGAGAGAGAACACTCAGAACAGGTTTTGAGGCGAACTTTCACTCCATGTTCACTTATTATTGGGGCTCTAGTCCTGCGTGCAGGGATGTGTCTGACAAACAGCCTGGGAGTCGTGCTGGTGGGAGAGGGGTGGTATGTGTGTGTGTCTGGATGTGATGGTGTGCAAGTGTAAGTCGGAGAGGCAAACAGCGAGAGAGCAAATGAGGGGCTGAAGAAGGATGAAGTGTGTGTTTGTGTCCGTCCGTGTGTGTGTGTGTGTGTG